AATGGTGTAGGGGGGTGCGTTTTAATTGCGAGCCCAGCTGGGGCCTGGGGGCCGCCCAGGGCCCCCGGTCGGGGTCCAGGGGCCGAAGCCCCGGAAAAATTTGCTTTCTTACGTCCTAGTAGACTAATTTGAAGGCATTTTATCATGTTAATCTCTATATGTCCGTGTACACAGCGATAGGGCCTATCAAAAAATTACCATTGAAGGACATGGAGAAACAAGCAAATCCTTTCCCAAATGAAAAATACTACTGTATAAATTCGTAAGCATTACGAATAAAAATTCAAAATCAATTCTGCTTTTAAATGAATAATAGCAAAGTTTGATATAAAGAGTGGATTAAAAGCGACTGTAAATGAGCTGATTCAAACAACTAGAAGCATTTGAAACAAATTAATCAACATTTTTATTTTTATTCTAAACAGGAGTGTCATTCTAGCATTTTGACTTCATTGCTATACACTGACATACCGGCTGGTAGTTAGGGGAAGATACACCTAGACGATAACGTGCATATAACGTGTGTATGTTTGTTGTGTTATGTTGCTGGCAGTACAAAAGATTGCGCGTGTGGAGTCAGCACTCTAGTATACTTATTGTAACTCATTTGTACATTCATACAATCTTAATACTGTACTGTTATGTGATTCATTTTATAATGATTCTTGGAACAAGGTCACATTTTTTTTTGGTTATAATAATTAGTGGACGTTTTTCGATTTGGGGGGGGGGGGTCTCGTTGGGTGCGTACGAACCCCCGGATACGGGCCTGGAACACAAGCGATACGGGCCTGAAACACAAGCCTGATTTATTAGCTTTAAATATTCCATATTATTGTGTGTGGTATTAGATCATACAATAGGTCTAGTTGTTCTATTACATGAAAATAAAAAGGGGTCAACATTTTTTTTTTGAAATGATTGCTCATTAATCTACCATTTTGTCGCGGCGTTAACCAGGCACACAACCAAAACCAAACAAGGTAAAAAATAAACTAAAGCGGACCAAGACGATTTACGATCATAACGTTTACAACTTTTACACCTAAGAGTTTACTGAGCGCGAAGAGCGAAATAACATACTCATTTTTGTGGCGGCTGTAAACAGGCTCAATTGCACACACAACGGGAATGAAAAAATATTATATAATATGCGATGAGATATTCTATCTTTTGGTTTAAAACAAAAACAACGCTAAAAAATACAGGTTATAACTATACTAAATAGATGCCGGAACGATTTTGGCTTATGTGGACTACATGTGGCAGGTAATTTTAAAGTCAAAATCGGTCCGGCGGACCGATTTTAGCCCCGGATCAATTTTTTCCTGACACCAATAAAAACTGAAACTGAAACTGAGACGGGCTGTTTAATCGCACTAAGGTACTTAATTCTATGCTCGACTGAATTTGAAGAGTCACGTGACGTAGAACAGCCAATTAGGCTGCTTAATTTTCCTTCACTGGCAATTCTCATATAGGAAAAACAAATATTGCCGCCGGAATATTTTCATTATTTAATTTGCTCAATGCTATTGAATGTGTAGATGGTTTGAACTTACGATCCAATGCTGGATGCTTTCCATTGACCCATATAAAATTAGTAGCAGGTTGAGTACTGTAGTCTCTAACTAGTCCAATCCAAGTGGACCTGAAGCCACATTCTGCCAAGTACGGAGTAGCTAACGCATTAACAATTAGGTGCTCTTCTTCTGTATCAATAACGACTATGTCAGCCCCCTTCTCTATGCAAAGTTTCCTCGATTCATTGAATGAAGTCGTCGACGGATCGGGCAGCGAAATATAACATTTACGATTCCAAGGCATCCAGTCTGACGTCATACACCGTTGGGCGTATGGTGCTGAAAAGATCCAAGTTGATACCGTATTTCTTTATTCGGAAAAAATCATATTATATTGCTATTAAATGAAAAATGATCATTTACCAATACTAAAATACAAATAATAATTACTAAGGATAATTACACAGATTCAATAGACAAATATTTTCTTGCCTGTTTCACATAAAGCATATTGGTCCAAGTAGCAGTCAGTTTCGTAAAATTCCCTGTGATTAAGGTTAAGAATAACACACTTCTCCGACGTTGTATCTAGATGGCCATTAGCCCACTCTGAAAGGTTAAAAACAGCTAAAGCTTTCATTTTGGTGTAAACTTTTAAGCCTACACACAATATATGCAATAGGCCTATGCGAAAATAGCCAATATATTAAAATAAAAAATAATATATATATATATACATATATAAATAGTATATATATACATATATCTATACACACATATATATATATACACATATATATACATAGCTTGATAAAGACTTATAGTCGAAAGTACTCGCTAACTCTGAAAATAAATTTTGTGGCATATATCTGATACCATCTGACTCGTTA